ACCTACCGTACGGACGCTAAAACTACCTAATTATTGTATTTTGTTTGCTTGATTGCTAACAATGTATCTGACACAGCCGCTTTAACAAATGGGAAAGCCACTCCCGTGGGCTACGCTGTATCGGCAGGTGTCGGAGGTGGAAAGCGAGCGTATTGTGGAAAACATGAAGCACGCGAAGAAACACAAAGTCACTGTCAGCAACACATCGATATGTGCCGTGTGTACGGATCCATCACTTCACACAATGCGATACCGGGTCGTCTCGTGTTCTTCGGCTACGTGTGCGGATGCGTGTGTCGCACCTTTAAGGTGTCGTTGGAAATGCAAGACGCTTGTATGCTGCAAAAGCGGCATAGTGAATATTTACGAGTTTGGTTTACACGAAGTGAAAGGAAATGATCCTCCTACTGGCGGCCTGACGTTGGAACAAAAGAGAACGGCGCGCCAACTAGCTGTTAACGATCTGAAATCTGCTCGAATTCGAAACGCGCTGACTGTTGGTGCCTCTGCGGAAAAAATTCCGCATCTCAGCAAGGTGCAAAATTTTGTTACGCATTGCCGCAAGACTGAATTGAACAATTTGGACGACTTGGAATTTCTGGAGGAAGTTATCAGAGCAAAAGCCTACACTGGGCTAGAAGAAGAAAGCTCTGCATTTTCGAGCAGCATGAATTGTAATGGAGACATCAATATTGGTGAAGGAACCGACACTAGCACATTTTTTGTCGGCTTCACTACGAAGACACTCCTAAAACGACTCGACCGTGATCCGCACAGTTTCATTTTGCATTTTGATGCGACCTACAAGTTGAACCAAGTGGATTATCCTACCTTTGTCTGTGGAATTTCTGACCATTCTCGTTCCTTTCACTTGGTTGCTTTGTTCGTCGTGTCACAACAAGAAGAGCGTCACTACGCGAGTGCGCTTACATCCCTCCGAGCTATCTACGCTCGATTTTTGCGGAAGCCGATGGTAGTGCACTTCATTCTTGGAGACGCCGACGGAGCCCAGTACAATGCGATGGCATCAGTGTTCGAGGATTGTGAAACAGAGATTTTGATGTGCTTTTACCACGTTATCGCAAAAGATCATGAGCGGACGAGGTACTACCCGGTAAGCGTAGCCTGGTCTTGGCCGATATATTTGATATGCATTACGCAAGAAACGCCTCGGAATTTCATGCTAAAAAGACGTCTGCAGTGCGGCGGTGGCTTGCCGACCCAGATGTCGAGCGATTTGGAGGAGATTTTTTCTGCAGCAGTGGCTGACGGGAAAGTTTGTGAAATGGCAGTGCTTCCGTACGCCTGTTGGTTGGGCACCTACAAATAATCCCGTGGAAACGTTCAATGCCAAGCTGAAGAATACCTACACTTTACGAGAGCGAATGCTAATGGGGTCTTTGCTTGGTCAACTTCAAGTTTGTTGTCGAATGGAGAGCGTGTCGGGTGCTGCATTCCATGAAACATCTACCGCTAGCAGCAGGCTTCGACGGCGCGTGACAGCTTTGCGCCGACAGCAACTGCTCGTTGAGACTCCATCCTTCGACGGCTCCAGCAATTTTGTACTTGTCGTTTCTAAAGCTACACCTCGAATCTACGTGAAGCCGAAGAGGAAGTCGATGGAAGTTGTGGATGTGGCTGTGCAACTTGGTGCTAATGCGGCTAGAATGGAAAGAGATGAACAGCCGGAGGAAGGATGGTCAGTGGATCTAACTACTCGCACTTGCCCGTGTAAATACTTTTTCCACAAAGGCCAGTGTGTACATCTTCTCTTCGCCTTTTATACAAGGTTTGGTACTGACCAACCTGGCAAGAGGAAGTTGTTCAACCGCAGCCGGCGCAACAAAAGAAAAACCTTAGAAGATCAAATCGCAGAAGCAGCCGAAGCAGACCAGTCCAAACGTGGACGTCCGATCCTAGCCGGTCGTTCGTTATCGTTGATTTGAGAACAGCAGGCAAAGCCCCCCACACGCGATGCACCTTCCCTCATGTAAGCCTCGCTAACCGGTCCGTATGCATAGCGTCCGTAATGCGTCCGTAGAATATAGACACGGTCTAAGCCCCGACGCTTCAGAGCCATATTTTGGCCGACGCCCCCGACGGATCAATGAAAGTAGTCGTATAGTTGATTTGAGACGGAGGCAAGCCCCACACGCTATGCACCTCATTATGTCGCCTCGCTAACAGGTCCGTATGCGTAGCGTCCGTAATGCGTCCGTAGAATATAGACACGGCCTTAGCCCCGACGCTTCAGAGCCATATTTGGGCCGACGCCCCAGACGGATCAATGAAAGTAGTCGTATCGTTGATTTGAGACGCAGGCATGCCCCCACACGCGATGCACCTCATTATGTAGCCTCGCTAACGGGTCCGTATGCAAAGCGTCCGCAGCGCGTCCGTAGAATATAGACACGGCCTAAGCCCCGACGCTTCAGAGCCATGTTAGGACCGACGCCCCCGACGGATCAATGAAAGCTGTCTTATCGTTGATTTGAGACGCAGGCAAGCCCCCACACGCTATGCACCTCATTATGTAGCCTCGCTAACGGGTCCGTATGCATAGCGTCCGCAGTGCGTCCGTAGAATATAGACACGGCCTAAGCCCCGACGCTTCAGAGCCATATTAGGACCGACGCCCCCGACGGATCAATGAAAGTAGTCGTATCGTTGATTTGAGACGCAGGCAAGCCCCCACACGCAATGCACCTCCCCATGTAGCCTCGCTAACGGGTTTGTATGCATAGCGTCCGTAATGCGTCCGTAGAATATAGACACGGCCAAACCCCGACGCTTCAGAGCCATATTTTGGCCGACGCCCCCGACGGATAAATGAAAGCTGTCTTCTCGTTGATTGAGACGTAGGCAAGCCCCTACACGCGAAGCACCTCCCCCATGTAGACTCCGCTAACGGGGTCCGTATGGCAAAGCGTCCGCAGAGCCGTCCTAGAATATTAGACACCGCCGCTAGACCCCCGACGCTTCTAGAAGCCATATTTTGGGCCGGACGCCCTCGACGGGATCGATGAGAGTCTGATCTGATCGTTTGAGTTTGAGAACGCAGCGAAGCCTCCCCCACGCTATTGACCCTTCATTTATGT